CGGAATAGTGAAAGAAACCGTGCGGCAAAACCGTGCCAGGGTGGCAAATTAGGCTCCGCTCGCGACTATGCCCATTTTTCCTATCAGATGGTTCCTACCACTTTTTATTTTTCTCCCAGTTGGTGTGCTCTCTTGAATGATATGGTTGATAAGATGATAATGCAAAAGAAGTAAAAAAAGATTCACAAGTTGTGCCAAATACGAAAGCAAACAGTCAGGAAAACTCAGCTTAACCAGGGAACCAATCTCCAGTCAGCGTGACAAGAACTCAGCCAGGAGTTTATCCAGGGATGTCCAGTCGAGAAGCAAGTCAAGGGAAAAAGCCAAGGACATGGACCCGTGAATGGACAAGGCTCAGCTGCGGTGACATTAGTTCTACACGGATGCGGAAAGGAATCGTCATATTCGATCCAAGCACCTCCTAACACTTCTATATTTGTTTTCCGAAAAAATTAGAGTTGCAGGCAGATCTCGGCATAAACGCGCAGAAGATGTGCAGCATTTACGCAAGAGATGTTAGTAGACTGCACATCTGTTGCGACATTGCTGCACAACTGTAGGGGATGTGTAGGGTAGTTGATGCGCGAATGTAGGATATTCAGCCGATAGCCCCCTCCCCCTCTCGTTGTTCGCTTTCATCGCACTTGATTAAAACATTTGCTAAAATAAACATTTTTTGAGAAAATTGGGAGATACAACAAATGAGGGGAATAAAAAAACAAAAATAGATTACAGTATTTAGATATGATGTTATATTTTTTCGTCTCCTGGCTTGATCTCAGATTGTTCCTCAATACACTCGTATTTTGAAGTCTTCGTAGTTGAGTGTCGGTTTCTTACTTCTATCCTAAACCGGGGTTTGGCTGAGGGTGTCGCTTCTATTGGAATGTCCGCGTGGTCCGACGCCTTCTCTCATCCAACACTTGACTTCATAGTGATCTGTAATAGGAAACACGTCATGAGAGTGACTATTTCAAGCTATTCTCAGGTGAGCTTTACTTTAAAAAATTTAAAAGCTGCGAAAATAACATAATCCGATATTTTTCGACTCAAAGAAAACTAGTGACCAGTGTATCCTCTCGACACGATTTCGATAAATTTTCGAAATTTTCTCGACGAGTTAAAAAACACATTTTTCGAAAAGACACACTGATAGTGGCTTATTTTGCAATAGTGATGGAATTC